CCAACTGTAATAATGTTAAGGTGTCTCTTAGCATAGGTTTGCGTGTCAATAAGGATCTCATCACATTAATGAGGGCATGTGGGGAGATTTGCCAGGCTCCATGGTGAATCTGTGGGGCAGCAGAGCAGCCTTGTTGCCCCATGCCCCACCTCGCCCACAGCTATGCTTCCCCATAATATGTGGGCAAGTGTCGCCGTGCGGCTTCTCCCTGCTCTGGTCCCTTTGCTCCCTACAGAACAAGGGAATCTTCCCGTGTTTTGAGAGAAGCATCCTATCACACTGTCAGTATGCTTTCTCCATAGAGCCCCACTGGAAGTTGTCATACATTGTGTGATGCCGTCCAGCGGGCTCCAAGAAGAAAGCTTCCCGGCAGCATGTTAGGTCGCCAATTTCTCCTTGTGTGATGAGGTTGTCAAAGAGAATTTGGCTATTTCATAAAGTCCAGTCTGTTCTTATATTATAAATGCTTCATACATATTAAAAAGGCAGTTTAAATGGCGTGATCTTTCTGTTAAAGAAATACTAGGCTCTTCAAATGCGCTTCTCTTCTCACTCCATTCCTCCCTGGTGTCTTTGCAGGCCGCTCTTCCCTGGCTTCTGTATTCTGACATACCCCAATACATGTAGTTATTGACTCTAAGGACCTCATTACATTGAGGCCACAAACTCATCACCCTGCACCCTGCATCATCTGCATCTCTCCTTACTGCATTGCCGCCCAGCTTCCCCCCATTGTTCTCTATGGAACACGGGAAGCCTCCCATGTTCCTAGCACTGCCTCTTATGACAGTTCAACCTCACTTCAGACACGGAGCCCCACCAGAAGTACATATACGTTGTGTGATGGGATCTGGCAGACTCCATGCCTGAAGTAAGGTCAAACTCATAGTAAAGGTGAAGGTAAAGCTTTCCCCCTGACATTAAGTCCAGTCGTGTCCGACTCGGATGTGGTGCTCATCTCCATTTCTAAGCCGAAGAGCCGGCGTTGTCTGTAGACACCTCCAACGCCATGTGGCCGGCATGATTGCATGGAACACCGTTACCTTCCCGCCGGAGTGGTACCTATTGATCTACTCACATTTGCATGTTTTCAAACTGCTAGGTTGGTAGAAGCTGGGGCTGACAGCTGGAGCTCATGCCGCTCCCCAGATTCAAACCTGCGACCTTTTGGTCAACAAGCTCAGCAGCTCAGCGGTTTAAACCACTGCGCTAATGAGGGCTGTCATAGGACAGGCAATTTTGGCAAACCCACCTCAAGGTTTTTTGGGGCAGAGTGTGTGTAACTCACCCAAGCTCATTCAGTGGATATGTATTTAGTCTTGTATTTAGTTTTCCAATATAGGCAGTCCCCAAGTTGTGAAGAAAATAGATTCTGTAGGTTTGTTCTTAATTTAAATTTCTATGTAAGTTGAAACAGATACATTAAGTGTTAACTCCAGCCAAAAACATATATTTTTAGCTTTGGGCAGCCTAGGGACAACCTCTGTGGTGTTTGTTTTGCTGTTTGTACCCCTGTTCAGAACATTTCACCTCACTTTCTGTCCCTGTGATAATTGGATTTTGAAAAATTTGGCTTGTTGTGGAAACAAAGATTGTTGAAAAAGCTTACACAGAGACATCTTTTTCCCATGATATCTTTTTCAAGAGTAAAATTCCTTTCTGAGGGGTAGATTTCTCTCACTTCCTATTGTCTCAGCCCTGTTCTTAACTATGAGTTGTTTGCAAGTCAGATGTTTGTAACTCTGGGACAAGTTGTAGATACATGGGGAGAGGCAATATAAAGAATTGTACAAATGAACACTTGTTTTATTTTTTTAAAAATAAAGTATTTCACAGCAAATAATTTATCAGTTTCTTTTGCTTTGGAATATATATACATCTTCAAGTTGGGAGTCTGATTGAGAGCTGCAGTGAGGGTTAGGCCATCAGTCAAGTTGACTGGTGAATTTGGGGTGTTTTAGTGCCCCAAAATAACATTTCCAAGTGCTTCGGGATAGTCATTGAAAGGAAAAATCCAGAAATATATTCATTTTAACATTTTAATCCAAGGGAGGTCGTGCTCAGTGTGCCATTTTCAGGTTCTCCTGACCTTCTGTGGGGCACACTGCCTTTTTCACTGACCTAAATGATGCTCTGTGACACATCTGAATAATTCTGGCAACTATTTAGTGCTGTTGGGTGAAAAAGTCTTTTTAAAAAGAAAAATACACACCACAGAATAATTTTTCAGCTGAAAATTGTCTCTTCTTCAAAAGGAAATGTTGATTGGTGGGATCAACAAGAAAGAGGCCACATGTAGGCCATGGACTGCATGATCCTCACCAATACCTTAATCCCCCAAATTAAAATTGTGCCCATTGACCATAAATTAGAGACCTTCAAGGCACTCTGTTATTAGCAGACCTATTAAGATTCTACAAATGTAAAATATTCTATATTAATTTAATGTAGTATCACTTCCTCATTCACCTACTGCCACTTGCTTTACTCATTATCATTTTGTTTTTATGAGCCATGTCTTCTCGTAATATGTCCAGAGTACAATCACATCTGGATTTTTTTGGGTGGGGGGGGGGTAGTGTCATATTATTGTGGCATTATGTCCCATAGTGTTATAAAGGACATCCTTCTTTTCTCATTCCTCTTCATACGTTGTCTTTTCTTGCCAGTTTTTCCAAAATTGGACACAATAAACACTGACAAAATCATGATTTGCCACCTGACTTGGATCTGCATGCATTATTTGAAAATACATCCCACAATCCTAGGTGCTTGGGAAGTGTTCGACTTGTGATTTTGTGATATGAAATCCAGCATATAGATCTCATTTGTTGTGACATATTGTGTTTTTGTGTCTGTAAAATAATAATAATAATAATAATTATTATTATTATTATTATTATTATTTATACCCCGCCACCATATCCCAAAGGGGACTCGGGGTGGCTAACATGAGGCCAAGCCCATAATTACAGTACAAAAAAATAAAGTAAAATACAAACAGCAAATAATAGCATCAAAATAAAATACATCAAATAACAGAAAATGCGATAAACAGATGCAAAGTAACATGATGAAGAATAAATAAATAAATAAAAGATACAACCTTATCAGATTTGTGTGTCCCTCCTAACATTACGGAAGGGAGAGGAAGGTCCCGCGAGCTGTTCACTCACCCTCCTCCTTCCTGTGTGATGGGAAGAGAAAGGTAGAACAATCACGACAGGGTGCAGGGCTCCCCATCGCTTCCAACTCATAAAACGAGGGAAGCATCAAAATTGTGCTAAAAGGAAAGAAAATTACACAAAGCTTACCTATATCACGGGCGCTGCCTGTGATGACCAAAGTTCCGCAGGTCCATGGTTCCATTTCTCACAATTCCAGGGCTTCATGAAAGGGTCATGTTCACGGCCTGCGTTGTTTGAGGAACAGTGTGCAAGCCTTTAAAATAAGGTAGAAGAAGTGGAGCCCCGTGTTATTTTCCCTACCCCCCTCCATCTGATGAGGTCCTTATTGAGAGCCAGTGTGTTGTAGTGGTTTGAGTGCTGAATTACAGTTTTGGAGACCAGGGTTCGGATTCCCACCAGGCCATGGAAACCCACTGGGTAACAAATACCCTACCTTAGAAAACACGATGATAGGTTTATCTTAGAACAGTCGTAAGTTAGCAATGACTTGAACAAAAACTATAACAACAACGTTTTTATTCAATTTATATCCCCAAGGCAAGAGCTCAGTATGTACAGAACTTCCTGACTGTGAGAGCTGTTCAGCAGTGGAACTCTCTGCCCTGGAATGTGGTGAGGCTCCTTATTTGGAAGCTTTTAAACAGACTGGATGGCCATTTGTCGGGGGTGCTTTGATGCAATTTTCCTGCTTCTTGGCAGGGGGTTGGACTGGATGGCCCATGAGGTCTCTTCCAACTCTATGATTCTATGATTCTATTTTTTAATTGTTCCATGTGCAGGTTTTGTCTTGCTGTCCTCAAACTAAGGCCCAGGGGCCAGATATGGCCCAACAAGGTCATTTACCCGGCCCTCGCTCAGGGTCAACCTAAGTCTGAAACACCTTGAAAGCACTTAACAACAACAATCCTATCTCATCAGCCAAAAGCAGGCCCACGATTCCCATTGAAATATTAATAAGTTTATATTTGTTTAAATTGTTCTTCATTTTAATTATGAAGCCGGAGCTCCTGGTGGTGCAGTGAGTTAAAGCACTGAGCTGCTGAGCTTGTTGGTCGCATGTTAGAATCCAGGGAGCGGTGTGAGCTTCCACTGTCAGCCCCAGCTTTTACCAACTCAGCAGTTCGAAAACATGGAAATGTCCGTAGATCACTAGGTACTGATCCAGCGGGTGCTCCATGCAGTCATGCCAGCCACATGACCTTGGAGGTATCTATGGACAACGCCGGCTCTTCGGCTTAGAAATGGAGATGAGCACAACACCCCAGAGTTGAACATGACTGGACTTAATGTCAGGGAAAAACCTTTTCCTTCCTTTACTATTGTTTTTAAAGTGTTTTTGCACTACAAATAAGATATGTGCAGTATGCATAGGAATTCATTTATTTTTTTTCAAATTATAATCTGGCCCTGCCCTCCAACAGTTTGAGGAACTGTGACCTGGCCCTCTGTTTAAAAAGTTTGAGGACTCCTGTATTAAAACATGGTTGGATTAAAAGAAATTAATAGCCATTATTAATGATAAGAACAGAGAGTATTTCCAAAGACTGAATACTTTTCCAGATACTTTTGTGCATCCATGATGAATTTATAATTTATACCCAAGAATGTCTGGGCATGTGCATAGGAACGCACGTGCTGCCATATGAAGTACTTATCTGCACACCTATGGAGACGGAAAGAGGCTTAAGCATTCTCCGCACTGCCCTGCCATTGGGGCTTCTGCACATTATAAATGATAAAGAAGAAGAACATATCAAAACAAGGGGAATATATGTAGATATGCTCTGGTTTCCATTTTTGAAACCGTTTTGGTGCAATGTAGGCATCACTAGGTTAATTTATCACGCTAGAATGCCTCCCTTTGGATTTATGAGTTAAGAGTGCTCAAGGGTTTAGTGTCCTGACATTTCTTTAATTAGCAGTCTGCTGGATCTTTCGCTAAGAAGATGCTAAGCCAGTGTACTGCTGTCATACCTCAAGGGTTTTAGAAGGTTGGAAAGCAACACAGCAAGTTCTACACGTCTATGCCGGCAAGAGATACAGAATGTACAACTTACCGTTTTCCCATTAGAAGTAAACCAATTTACCTGTTTTCTCATTCAAAGCAAAGGAAGACTTTTGCTGCTACTTCATCAGTGATGCAAGCATAAAAAGCAAAGTGGAAGGAAAGCGACCAAGGAGGAGCCGAGAAAAATGGGTGGAATAAGTAAGGACGACGTTGAGAAATACCTGGAGAACAACCCACAATTTGCCAAGGAATATTATGACCGAAAATTGCGACTGGAAGCAGTGGGAAGCGTCTTTACAATCAACCCTGGGGATGTGAAGGATGGAATCTCATTCAAGGAGATGACTAAGCTAGAGGAGAGTCAAATGCTTTTTGAGTTGTTGTTGCAAATCCAGGAACAGGATATGGAGACGGATATGGAAAAGATAGTGCATAAAGTGCTACAAAGGCTATGCCAGTTGCTGGCAGCTGACCGGTGCAGCATGTTTATCGGCCGTTCCCGCAATGGTATCCCAGAGATGGCTGCCAGGCTCTTAGATGTCACCCCTACCTCCAAATATGAGGACAACCTGGTTGTGCCTCAAAAAGAAATTGTGTTTCCTCTGGACATAGGGATAGTGGGCTGGGTTGCTCATACAAAGAAACTATTTAATATACCAGATGTAAAAAAGGTAAGTGGTAGCCTCTCCTGGGTTTGGGGGATAAGCAAAGGTTTTCTATATCTGGAATATGGGTATATAGTACCATTTTTTAAACTTAGGGTACAATGTTCATGGGTCATCATTGGGTTATTCCTTCTAGTTGTTGTTGAGCCCATAAATGAGAGACACTCATGTCCTTTTATCCTCAACAGCACTGTGTACAGGTCTTGCAGACTCGGTTCCGTGGCTTCCGTTCCTTTAATCTAGAACAGTGGTTCTCAACCTGTGAGTCCCCAGATGTTTTGGCCTTCAACTCCCAGAAATCCTAACAGCTGGTAAACTGGCTGGAATTTCTGGAAGTTGTAGGCCAAAACACTTAAGGGCCCACAGATTGAGAACCACTGATCCAGAATGTAGTCTTCCTCTTCTCCTATGTCTTCTGCTTTTCCCAGCTTTATTAGTTGCCCTTTCTAGTGAGTTGTGCCTTCTTATGATATTGTCAAAGTACAACAGTCATAGTTTAGTCATCCTGACTTCAAGGGAAAGTTCAGACTTTATTTGCTCTAGGATACATTTTTAGCAGTCCACAGTACATGCAGAACTCTTCTCCAGCACTATACTTACTATGAGTTGCTTGTCTTCCTATCGGCTTACTTCACTGTCCAGTTTTCACAACCATATGTAAAAAAAGGGAAATAAAATGGCATGGACAATCCTAACTTTGGTATTTAATTTAATATCTTTACACTTTGGGATATTGTTTAGTTCCTTTCTCACCACCATTCCCCAAATACTACTCTTTTTCTGGTTTCTTGACTGTAGACTCCATTTCTGATTAATGGCAAGGTGTGGGAAATCTTGAATTATTCAAAATTATTAAATTATCTGTAGTCGTTTTGTTTTCTTAATGTTCAACTGTAAGCCTGGGTTTCTACAGTAATCATTCTAAGTCTTTAGAATGATCTCTTAGTAGTATGGTGTTATTTATATATCTTAAATCGTTGCAGCTGTTCCTTCTTCCATTCGTTAGGTCTTCTTCCTCCAAGTTTAATACTGTTTTACGTATGACATGTTCAGCATTCAAATTAACAGTGAGCATGAGAAAAGGCAGCCTTCCCTGACCTCCTTGTGTATTGGAAACCTTCTCTTTGTAGCATCTTGAGTCCAGGTTTGTCTAGAACCGACCCTATATCTGGACAAACTGAGCAATGTGGAAAATGAAAGAGATGATGAGTCAAGAAATCTTAACTCAAGTGCAGAAATTTTTTAAAAAATCAATATCCTGTATTTATTCTATAAGAAAGATAACATAAATGTAGAACATTGAAAAGCAGCAGTGACTCCAGTAAAGTTCATAGTTTGTTCTAGTTATGCATAAATCTTGAATTCAATCTTTTCACAACCCTAGGAGTTGTAGGCAGAGACTAGAACTGCAACTAGAACTTAAATTATTCATTATGAACTTGACCTATTTATTTCAGTGAGATTAAAATACAATCAATATGGATTCAGTCTTTATCATATTACCAATTTATTTATTTATCGTGTCATCAGCAACCATACCATTGTATTACAATTCTAACAGAACAAAACAAACACACAGATTAAAAAGAAAAGAATATTACCAATAACACAGTCATAGAATCATAGAGTTGGAAGAGACCTCATGGGCCATCCAGTCCAACCCCCTGCCAAGAAGCAGGAAAATTGCATTCAAATCACCCCCGACAGATGGTCATCCAGCCTCTGTTTAAAAGCCTCCAAAGAAGGAGCCTCCACCACACTCCGGGGTGGAGAGTTCCACTGCTGAACAGCTCTCACAATCAGGAAGTTCTTCTAATGTTCAGATGGATTCTCCTTTCCTGTAGTTTAAAGCCATTGTTCCGTGTCCTAGTCTCCAGGGCAGCAGAAAACAAGCTTACTCCCTCCTCCCTATGACTTTCTCTCACATGCTTATACATGGCTATGTTTGATTGTATGTTTGATCTTCTTGATAGCATATGATCACTGTTTGATCTTTATAAATTCCGAGGGAAATGAAAAGTGAAGAAATTATATCAAAATAATTGGATCCAGTTTTGGATTTAAAACTATCCTTTAGTGTCAACCTAATTGGGTTCAGGGTTTAAGTTCTAACTTGTCTCCAAATGGTGGCCATTTCAAATTTTTAAATCATTCAGTCACAAACAAACTTCATGACATGCTCAAGAATACATTCAAATACAGATATGTTCCTTTGTTGAATGTAATAGGAACAGAATTAGCATCCAGATCAAATTGTATATTGATTTTCACATGATTTCAGGTGGGAAGAGTGCATGTTAGTGAAGTGAATTCATTCTGTTTTTATATAGTTTCAGTATGCTTTTCTCTCCTTCTGTGTGCCACTAATTTACACTATACTATTTCCTGTGGCTTCAAATAATCTGTCAAATCATGTTGACCTTATGAATTTAATAGAGTTTTTTAAAAGGCAAGGAATACTCAGAGGTGGGTTTGCAATTTCATTCCTCTGAAATATAACCTATAGCATCTGGAATTAATTGGCAATCTCCCATACAGCTCTTAACCAGAGATGACCTTGCTTAGCGTCCAAAATAAGATTGATCTGATGCCTTCAGAGTATTTAGGCTTAGAAAGACATTTCATATCATTCCTTTACTTTTTTTGAACTAATGATACTGTGAATTGTCATGTGAACCCTGCCAAAATGCAAAATTGAATGACAAATGCATCATCCTGACTTTTATTCTGCTTTGATAGTATCCATTAAGTCACATCAATAGAAAAAAGAGACGTGAATGTCATGGAATGATTGGGAAATAAACTAGGTTACCACAAGACACATTGATAAAGTCTGTTTGGGACGTGCCAATTATGAATTAAAGCCACAGAAGCCTCCAATTCCTGGTTAATTTTCTACTACAATTATTCTGAATCTTGGGGCCCTTCCACACTACAAAGTTATACCACTATGATTCCATTTTAACTGCCATAGCTATGTCTTATGGAATCCAGGAACTTGTCATTTGGAGAGGCACTAGAACAGTAGTTCCCAACCTTTTTTGACCAGGGACCACTTGACCAGGAACCACTTTGACCAGTGACCACCTTGACCAGGGTACACTCTCCAACATTAGTACCAAAAGGGTTATGAATCAGTGTCAACTGTAGATTCGGGTTGGTTATTTGGGATGCTGATTCAGAAAATTGCATTGGATAGACCACATCAGCTCTAGTTTCTGATAAAGAACATATACCATTCAGAAGTCGCCATCTGCTTGCCCACAGAAAACCATATCTAGTAATCTAGAGCTGATGTGGTCTATCCAATGCAATTTTCTGAATCGGCACCCCAAATAAATCCAGGAAGAGACCTAAAAATTAAGACACCAAGGCGCCTCACTTCCAGGCACCACATGGAACAGCTCCACTTGGGGAGGGAGGAGAATCAGCCAGGAGGCTTGTTGTAGCACCTTTCATGGGTAGTCAACCTCAGCCTATAAGAGGGTTTTGTGAGACCAGTTGCTCTAGTTGCAGTGGTGTCGTAATGGTGAGGCCACATACCATATTTTAGTTCTTGTGGACCACTTGTTGTCCATGGACCACAAGTTGTGAATCACTGCACTAGAGCTCTCTGTTTGAGAATTCTCAATGTTTCTCACTAAACTGTAAATTCCAAGAGCCTACAGGGTGTTGCCAAAGTCATTAAAGTGGAATCATAGTGCTATAAATGTGTAGTGTGAAACGCCCCTGTTCAGGAATCTGGCTGCTTTTTCTGCCTTGTTTCACAATATTATGCCAAACTATGACACACAAACATGAATTCAAATATGAAATTTGCAATATAGCATCAGACAGTTAAGTATCGAGTACAGTTTATATCTGGCCAAGACTAATAATCCAATGTAAGCCACTGTGGGATGAGCAGTAATTGCAAGAAGATGGATTGGTAGAGGAAATGTAGCAAATCAATAACAATTACAAAGTAAAAAGAAACTAGAAGCCATTATAGTACAGTTTACGTATTTACATTGGAGTCAATGGAACTAAAGCACTTAACTAATTTCTTCATTATCAGAATTCTTTATGGACTAAGTAGGATTTGGGAAATAAATTGTATTTGCTAATCCCTGAAAGAATATTGTTTCTGTAAACGACCTTCATTGTAGACAGTAGATATGATAACTAGCATTGTAAACGTTTTGGCTTCTTGTATAAATGTATATTTGAATACAACTACACGGGAGTTTACAATGTCTTTAGCTTTCTCTGTCCAAGAGTGCTGGTGCCTCACCAAACTACAGCTTCCATGATTCCAAAGCCCTGAGCCATAGCAGTTAAAATGGTATCAAACTGTATTAATTCTACACAAGGACACTGAAGACACTTAAACACTGAAGGTCTTGTTTAGAAGCAAACATTGCCTCCATTGTTTTTATTAAACAACTAGCTGTCCCCTGCCATGTGTTGCTGTGGCCTAGTGTGTGTATATATGTTTTGTGTGTGTATGTATGTGTGTATATATGTGATTTTGTCCATGCGTTGTAATGTATTTTTTTTTTTTTGCTTTTTAAGTCTCTTCTGCTGTGTTTTCCAGTGTTTTTATGAGTGATTGTCACTTGTTGGCCTGATAGGTATATTGTGTCCAAATTTGGTGTTAATTTGTCCAGTGGTTTTTGAGTTATGTTAGTCCCACAAATTAACATTACATTTTTATTTATTAAGACTAGCCGTCCCTTGCCACAGGTTGCTGTGGCCCAGATGGGGGTTCTGTGTAGGCTCAGGCCAGCGAGTCCCTTCAAGGCATGGGGGGTTCTGTGAGGGAAGTTTGGCCCAATTCTATTGTTGGTGGGGTTCAGAATGCTCTGTGATTGTAGGTGAACTATGAATCCCAGCAACTACAACTCCCAAATGTCAGGATTCTATTTTTCCCAAACTCCACCAGTGTTCACATTTGGGCATATTGAATATTCGTGTAGAGTTTGGTTCAGATCCATCATTGTTTGAGTGTACAGTGATCTCTGGAT